GAGCTAATTTTTTTTAATGATTTGAAACAAAATTTAAAAAATAATAATATTCCATGTCATTAAATTACATGAAATATAAATTACATGAAATACAAAATCAAGTTTCATTGGAACACAATCATGCTTATTTATTTACAGTTGAGACAAACTATGTGGCCCACCAAGCCCTGAAGTATTTATTGTCTGCTCTTTACATTAGCAGTTTGCTAACTCCTGCTCTGTGTTCTTGAAGTTCTTTTGACGGTGCTGGACAGTAAACTTATAATTGTATGTCTAATGGCTGCAAGTTCTTTGAGAAACAATAGTGCAGATAAAGAAGCTAGAATTGTGAAGGATGGAAAGGGTGCAGCAATAGATTTTATATACAAAAATCGGGGAACGGTACATTATTTATTCAGTGATATTAAAACAGACATTAATGAATGTGAAAGAACCATCTGTAGAAGAGTATTTTTGCCAAAAAGCGACAAAAGATTCACTAGCCCTGAGAAAAAAGTATAGCTGTAGGACTAGGTACTATGTGGTAAGAAAGAGTTGCTGAGATGGGTACAAATTATGAAGGGACTTGTAAACCAAGGAGCATACATGCTATAGATTTTATAGTGAGTGTAGAAATGTATTATTATGTCTTCTACTCATTCAGGTTATTATTATAACATCATTGTGTTAGTGATAAATCAGCTTAATACTTCAAAGACTGTAAAATGTTTAATACCTAGTAATCTGTCATTTTAGTGGCTTTCTCAGTAACATGGTATTTCTTGCTATGAGAATGTTTTAGGATTCCACATTGGCATCTGAGGATGATCACATTCCTTCTTACCACTCATTTGGCATTTCACTCTTGCCATTGCATGTATCTTCAGATCTCCCCACTTTCATCTAAAAACTAGGAGATGTTGTGGTTTCTATAATTAAATATTTCTTTCCTTTGCTCTTGATATTCTCAGATGCACTGGGATAACTTCAACACTTTGAACCTGACTTCAAATAATACTACTTTTATGTTCCTCTCTGATTTTTTTAAAATATTTTTTTTAGTTGTAGATGGACACAATACCTTTATTTTATTTATTTATTTTTTTATATGTGGTGGTAAGGATTGAACCCAGGGCCTCACACATGCAAGGCAAGCACTCTACCACTGAGCTACAACCCCAGTCCCCTCTCTGACTTTTATAAATTTCAGTTTCTTTTCTTTTCTTTAGAAAATGGAAGTTAGCGTTTACATTACTTTTCTCTATCAATACAATCGCCTCATGTAACAATTTGTCAACCTTTATTTTCAAGCATAAGACATTATGTAGACATGCTGTGAATAAGGCAAAAACTTCTGTCAAGGAGTAACTTTAAAAAGCCGACTGTGGAGTGGGGGATGTGTTTGTAGAGCCTTTGCCTAGCATGTGTGAAACCATGGGTTCATCTGCAACACCACCCCTTTGGGGACAGGAATTATAACTTTAAAAAGCCCTCTTTGTTACCTTTAGCATTTTGACAATCTCCTTTTATTGTCCTTTGCTTCCTTGAGCTGGTTCTTGAATTTAGATGTCTTTCAGTAGCCTTTATCTTTATGCCCCCCGCCCCGTTTTTTTTTTTTTTTTTTTTTGGTGGTGGTGGTGGTAGTGGGAATTGAACCCAGTGGTCATTCTACCACTGTGTTACATCCCCAGCTCTTTTGATTTTTTTAAGACTGGGTCTTGCTAAGTTGCCTACTTTTGCCTTGAACTTGGTGACCCTCCTGCCTCAGCATTCTGAGTAGAGTAGCTTGGATTATAGGCTGACACTATCATGCCTAGCTCCCTTTCATTTTTTTTTTTTTTTTTAATTAAAGGATAAGAGATGTTGACATGCTCTTCTGTTTTTATTTTTTTAAGAAATTTAAAATTTCATCATGCAAGTAATATATTCTTTTGGGCACAGATAAACCATAAAAAGAAAGAAAAATATCTTTTCTAATACAACTAATAGAGAATAGTCCCTGTTAATATTTAGTAGCTATATATTTGTGTAAATAAAATTTTAGTAATAATACATCATTTTGTAAATCCTTTTCACTTAAGAGATATCATTAACATTTAACCACATCAGTATATAGAGCTCTTCTCAAACTTTTTGCACCAGGGACCTCTTTACAATCTTAAAAATTGAATTTTTAATCTATGTGGCTTCTATGTATTATGTTAGATATTTAAAACAGGCTTGGGGCTGGGGATGTGGCTCAAGCAGTAGTGCGCTCCCCTGGCATGTGTGCAACCCGGGTTCGATCCTCAGCACCACATACAAACAAGGATGTTGTGTATGCTAAAAACTAAAATGTAAGTAAAATATTTTTTAAAAAAATAAAACAGGCTTAGTTCTGTTTGTTATGACCTGTTTGAGTTTGTATGTATTGTTTGCTCTGCCTGAGATGCCCTCCTGGCTTTACCTACTCCAATCCAGCTCAAACATCACTGACTTTGAAGACCACTGCCCCTCCTACATACATAGATAGAACTCATTGGGCCTTACTTTGTGTCTAGTTCTGCGTTTAATTCCTGCTTGGTATATTCCTTTCTAGGTTTTAGATCCTTAGGGTAGTAACAGTGTATTATTCAGTCCTCAATCTCTATTTATTGATACTTCTCTTCTAGTTACTGAATTGGTGAACTATTATTTTTTTATATGCAGGTACAGTTCATCCATTATTTAGTCTTCTTTCTTTCAGTTGTACCAATTTCATCAGATTTTGTGACTTTTCTGAAAATTTTGGTGCGACTTCAGAAATATAAGTATCTTGAATTTTCAGTTTGGTAACTTTTTAAAAAATATTTTTAGTTGTAGATGAACACAGTACTTTTATTTTATTTATTTGTTTTTTATGTAGCACTAACCCAGTGCCTCACACATGCGAGGCAAGTGCTCTACCACTGAGCCACAACCCCAGCCCTCAGTTTGGTAATTTTTATTATTATACATTTAGATGTTATTTTATGAGGCTATCTATGAACTATGGCTTGTGTCTTTTCTTTTGCAGAAACGCCTTTTGTAATGTATGAATATATATATGTTTAGTTTTCCACTACAAATGCTTTGCTGAGTTTTCGCAGTTGTGTAAGAATTACAGGAAATGCAGCTTCATAGAAAATGGTATGGATTATAGCCCACTTGGCAGATTTCCCACAAATAAGCTAGAAAAAAGGTTTATTATTCAAAATAGGTTTGCTAGTTTCTTTTTTTCCAGTACCCAGGATTGAACCCAGGGGTGCTCTACCAATGAACTACATCCCCAGTCCTTTTTGTGTTTTTATTTTGAGATAGGGTCTAAGTTGCTCGGGCTGGCCTTGAACTTATGATCTTCCTGCCTCAGTCTCCTGAGTAGCTGGGATTTTTTTTTTTAATAGGCATCACCATTATACCCAGCAGGTTTACTAATTTCTTAACTAAGTGATTGACACAAACAGGTGATGAATACAGAACATTATTCAGTATATATATATCGAAGAAAATAAACACAGTGGAATATCCATATTGTAGCAGGTAGTTTCATGTTGTATAATTTTCGTGAATACTCTTCCTAATTAGAACCCATTTCTTTTTTGTTTTCCTCAATTAATATAGAATAATCCCCATCCTGATCTTTACCAGTTCTCATTATTTTCAGAAAAATAATATTTTATCTAATTATTTCATCATGGCAGGGTTCTCAAACTTCATGTACATGAGAATATTCTGAGGTGTGTGTTTGTGGTATGTACTCCTTGTGCCTGTTGCTAAGTAGTTCACATGTCAAATTTTGTCTTTCAGGTCTTAAAATTTTAACTCATATAGGATTTTGCTGGGCACAATGGCCCCTGCCTATAAACCTAGCTACTCAGAAGACCGAGGCAGGAGAATCACAAGTTCAAGGCCAGCCTCAGCAATTTAACAAGACCCTATCTCAAAATGATAAATAAAAAGGACTAAGGCTGTAACTCAGTGATAAAGCATCCCTTGGTTCAAACCCCAGTAACAAAAAAAAAAAAAAAGGAGATCCTAACATTTTAATATCCATTTTTAATAAGTGATCCAGAGGAGAATAGCTGTTGGGGAACAGAAAAGGGAGGTCTGGATGATTTAACAAAAAGAGATATTTTCATGACATTTTTCAGGACTTATAGGTACGGTGTATTTAGTAGAGGCAGTAGGAATCATTCTTGTCCTGCCTTTAAAATTATTAACAACGTTTATGTTTCATTATGAAGTTTGTTATAGAATTTTGGCTCTTTCTCATGTCCAGGAAATTTATTCTATTCCTACCAAAGCCTAGTAGTTTTTGTTGTTTTATGATGGTGGGATGACTGTTGAATTTTGTCATTTTTTTCTAACATGAATTAGGATAATCACACAGTTTTGCTTCTTTAAGATTAATGTATTTGTCTTGAACCATTCTTGCATTGCAATAAATGCTTAGAATATACTTATTTTGCTAATATCTTATTTAGTTTTGCTTAAGTGTTTTTAAGTTTTCGAAATAGGATTATAGCTTTTTTCTCTTTTTTGACGGAAAACTGGTTTTGGGTTTTTTTGTTGTTTGTTTTGTTTTGTTTTGCACTGTTGATTGAACCCAGGGGCGCTTTACCACTGAGCTACATCCCCAGACTTTTGTACTTTTTGAGATAGTGTCTTACTAAGTTCCTGGTGCTGGCCTCAAGGTCCTCCTGCCCTAGGCTTCCAAGTCACTGGGATTGCTGGTGTGCATTACTGAACCTGGCTCGATTATTAGCTTTAGAGAAAAACTCAAAATGATTAAAGCAGCACAAATATTCTAAAATCAGAATACATCTATATTGACAGAAACAGCTTTGGGTGTTTTTTTGTTTGTTGTTTGTTTTTAAAGAAAATCTAAAGACCTCTAGGCCGTAAAGGCTTAAACAGGAAATTTCATTTTAAGAGCTAATATAAAAATTTCATAGTTTGGTAATTCCTTCTTTTATATGTTATTCTTCACAGTACACTTACTCTAAATTTTATTTCTTGTTTAGGTACGTATAGCTGCTAAATTCATCACTCATGCACCCCCAGGGGAGTTTAATGAAGTATTCAATGGTAAGTAAGGGTTATTATTTAGTTATTTGAAGCTGTACTTAATTACAGTCATTCTTTTAATCTGTTTGACAGGTTACAGCTATAGCAAAGGAAATCAACATTCAAAATGATTGAAATAACTTGTCCAAGGTCACCCTGCTAGTAAGCATCAAAGTAAGGATTTAATTCCAGGTCTGAGTTAAAGCTCTTAACCCATTAATTACCACATCTATCTTAGGTGAGAAAAGATTTAAGATAGTTTAACATAAAAAGTAGAAACCATGTTAAATTTTATAGTTTTATTTTTATCATGATAAGTAATAGCTTAAATTTCATCACTGTTGAGCCAGGCACACTTGTAATCCCTGTGGTACTAGAGGCTGAGGCAGGATGATCACAGTTTCAGAGCCAGCCTCAGCAACTGACCCTAAGCAACTCAGCAAGACCTCTTTCTAAAATAAAATATAAAAAAGGGCTGGGGAGGGGCTCAGTGGTTAAGTGCCCCTTGGTTTGATCTTCAGTACCATTGCTTTCACTCCAGAAGTTCCATACTATAGTACACACTCTACGGCCACTGGGGATGAATTGGCTGCATCCAGGGAGCTTATTAAACTTAGAGTCAACTTTATCATTCCCTCAAGATTCTCATTCTTGGTAGAAAAATCTTTGCCACCTGCGCCTCAGAGCATTAATCTCCAGGATATATAAAGAACTCAAAAAACTAACACCAAAAGAACAAATAACCCATTAATAAATGAGCAAAGGAACTGAACAGACACTTCATAGAAAAAGAAATATGATTGGTCTACAATACATGAAAAAATGTTCAACATCTCTAGCAATTAGAGAAATGCAAATTTAAAAAAAAAAGTATACTCAGGGCTGGGGTTGTAGTTTAATGGCAGTGCACTTGCCTAGCATGTGTGAGGCACTGGGTTCTATCCTTAGCACCACATAAAAATAAAGCATTCTGTCCATCTACAACTACAAAAAAAGAAGTTTAAAAAAAAACTACTGAGGGCTAGGGTTGTGGCTCAGGGGTAGAGTGCTTGGGTTTGATCCTCAGCACCACATAAAAATAAATAAAGGTATTGTGTCCAACTACAACTAAAAAAAAAGCAAATATTAAAAACAAAACAAAACAAAAAACCCCAGATTCCATCTTACTCTGGGGTTGTAGAGCACCTGCCTAGCACATGTGAGGCACTGAGTTTGATTCTCAGCACCACATAAAAATAAATAAATAAAATAAAGGTATTGTGTCCATCTACAACTAAAAATATTTTTTAAAAAATGAATAAAGTAACAATGAATGTTGGCAATGATGTGGGGGAAACACTCTGAGGGAAAAGATCTTGAAGGACCTCTAGATCTGAAGCTTACGTGCAAGCAATGAAGAATACAACCTGTGGGTTTACCAGTGCCATAGAATAGAACAAGCACGGAAAATCTGTGAAATTTTATCCACGGCATTTGGCTCTGTTAACCTCTGAGAAATCTTGAACCCTGCAATAAAGTGAAGGCCAACCTCACCTAAGAATCCAGATGTTTCCTAATCATCCTGCTTTCAATCTGCAATGTTGAACTATTAGGGAAAGATGAAGTGATGTCCTGCTTCAATTTTCTGAACAGATTGCAGTGTGATGTATAAAATATTCTCATTTGTTTTTATATTAAAATGTGTCCTATTTTTAAAAATTCGCCTATAATCTCAGCAGCTCAGGAGGCTGAAGCAAGAAGATTGTGAGTTCAAGGTCAGCCTCAGCAAGTCAGTGAGATCCTGTCTTTAAATAAAATGTAAGACAGAGCTGGATATTTGGCTCAGTGGTTAAGTGCCCCTGGGTTCAATTCCTGGGATCAAAAAATAAAATAATTTTAAAAATTGACAATCCTGCTTGGAAAGAAATTCAGAAATAAAACACTTGCTTAGAATGTGTGAGGCTCTGGGTTTTCTCTGCAGCACCGCAAAAACTAAAAATAAATTAATGGTCCTCACTAGACCTTCTGTAAAACAGTTTTCTTTTGCTATGAAATTCCTTAAGATTTTTATTGTTGGATTATTATACTGCAAATAATTGTTTACAGACCTATGAACATTAGCATCTATTTATTGGCATTTTTAAAATATCTACTCATACAGCTTATCTAAAGCCTAATTTTGCAAAGCCTGGATGTTTTTTTTGTTTTTGGAAGTAGGGAGTGCTTTACCTCTGAACCACAACCTCAGCCCCTGTTATTTTTCAGTTTGAGACAGGATCTCACTGAGTTGCTTAGGACCAAGCTAAGTTGCTGAGCCTGGCCTCAAACTTGGAATCCTCCTGCCTAAGCTTCCTGAGTAGCTGGAATTATAGGCCTGCACCACCACACCAAGTCAAAGCCTGAATTTTAAATATCTGTTCTAGAAGTCTACTAAAAATTCTTAAGTTTGTCCTGTACTTAACCTTTCAACACGGTTTCCTCCTCAGATGTCCGGCTACTACTTAACAATGACAATCTCCTCAGGGAAGGAGCAGCACAGTAAGTATCTTTTCTAAATCCACATACAATATTATTCTAACATTGGGTAAATTGGCACCCTGGAAACTAAGTTTAAAAATACTTCAAAATAAAGCAATTGGTCTTTTATTTTATTTTTCTTAGAGAAAACATGTGCCCCACAAATGTTCTTTACTTACTTGAAGCTTATTATGTGAACTTATTTTTTATTCATCCATTCATTTATTTTTGCTGTACTGGGGATTTAATCCAGGGCCACTCTACCACTGAGCTACATTCCTAGCCCTTTTTATTTTTTTTACTTTAAGATGGGATCTCGCTAAATTGCCTCAAACTTACAATCCTTCTGCCTCAGGCTCCTGAAAAGTTGGAATTACCAGTGCACTCCACTGTGCCAATTTATTTTTGTGTTTGTCCAGATTCTCCCTATTAGAGCAGAATTTAATGTTAACTATTATGTTTTCTTCTATTTCATGTTGTTGTATTTTTGGTTTTGTTTTTGTTTTGGTGGTAGTGATGGGGATTGGTCTCAGGTTCTTGTGCATGCTAGGCAAGCACTCTACCAACTGAGCTATATCCCCAGCCCATGTTTATATTTTTAAACTGCTGGTTATAGAAGGATTAGATTGCTAATCAGAATTGATGTATCTCAAATTGCCAAATAATAACAGATATTCATAAAGTGCTTTAATAAAATTAACAATAAGATAAAAGCTTTCAACCTTATTATTCATATCGTTGTCAGGCTAACTAACTAATCTTTCTAAAACATCATTTTGCCCTTGTCCTCAGAAACATTGGGGGGGTTATCTTTTTTTTGTATTCTAGAGTTAAATCTAAATGCTGTCAGTCTTTCAAAGCCTGCTATTATTCTATTCATGACTCTCCGCTTCAGTGCCAAGTTTCATTTCACTTATTGTCTACCCAACTGTCCCAGAGTTCCTTTTAAAAAAAAAAAAAATTAATAATGACTGAGAAGAGGTGGGATGAGGAGGTCAAGGATATTTTGATGTAAAGGAAAAATAACTACCATAAAATCATTTTGGCATGATATGTAATTTGTTTATATTTTAGCTATAGAGAACAGTTTGTTTGTTTATGTGGTACAGAAGATTGAACCCAGAGTCTCGCACGTGCTAGGCGAGCGCTCTACTGCTGAGCTATAACCCCGGCCCCTAGAGAACAGTTTTAAGAGCCGCTACCCAGGAAACAGGAAACAATCTTCTCCTGCCCTGTTCTGCTTCTTTGGAATTCATTTTGGGACTATGTTCTGTGTATCTATGATTTGCATACCATCACTGTAATTGTCATCATGAATGATACTCTAGTTACACATTTATTTAGAAAAATAAGACACATTGAAGATGCACTGAATCTCATCTGTATCTTTCAATGGATGGTTATCCAGTGTGAATGCTTCTAGTAATAAGGAATTCCCTATTTCGCAAAGCAAGTTCTTCAATTTCCCTGCCACGTTGGTCCTAGTTTTATATCTGAGAGCTACCCAAATTAAATCTACTCTGTATTTCTCTTGTCAAAGTACTGCTGAAGTCTTAGGGGGTTCTGTGCCACTTAAGAATGAGTGCAATTTAAGCCTTTTTTCACAGTTCTAAAAATTAAGACTGAGTAGAAGAAGTTGGTAAGTAGTTCAGATGTTTTAATTGCACTGACTGACATTAAAGCTTTATTTTATATGTATAGATACTCCGCATCTTACAGACTGTAGGTTTTTGGAAAACCTTTCTTTTAAGAATTTTTCTAAGCCCAACTACTTGCTTATAGAGATGAAGGATTCAGTTTTATTTCTATAATGAAATGCTTCAATCTCTTGACTGCAGTCTTCATAGTTAGTGCTCAGTAAATGTTGCAGTAATCATCATCATCATCATCACCTTCTATATTAATTGAAGAAGTTTGGATAGATATGAGATTTAACCCTTTCCTGGATTTCCACCTATGTTTCTAACCACCAGAACCTTTTCCTGATAATTCACAGCACTTCTGATATAAATAAGGTATTGTAGGTTGCATTGAAGAGTGAATTTTCCTCCAAGTGAGATAGGATGTTAATAAGAGTAAACATGATGAGTCTTAAATTTTAGAATGATTACTGACTATGATTATTGTAATCACTATGTATCAGGGCAGAGGCTGAAGTAAGACAAATATTTGCAAGAGCATTAGAATAGTTTAGGGATAGATAGTAGGTGTTTGCACTAGAGTGGAAGCAGTGTGGGTGAGGGAAGGAGTCAGATTCTGAATATACATTCACATAGAACCTGTAAGATTTACTGATGGATTGGATGTAAAATGTGAAAGAGAAAAGTCAATCACTCCTAAGTTTTTGGCTTGAGCAACTGATAAACGGAGATTCTAATAGTACTTTTAAATTTTTTTTAACAGTGCATTTGCCCAATATAACATGGACCAGTTCACACCTGTGAAGATAGAAGGATATGAAGATCAGGTAATAATTGCCCATTAGATAGACTATGCCTGACAGGTAGTTGAGATGATAGAAACCAAAGCTGATGTATGAATTAAGTGCTGAATAAATTTATGTCTTGGCTTTCAAAGTTTTAAAAAATATTCTACACATTAGGAAATTCTTTTCTCTTTCTGCTGATACTAGTTGTTAGTTTTGACAAAAAAAAAAAAGAGAGAGAGAGAGAGAGAGACAGAGAGAGCGCTGCCCCTAATATGAAGAGAGAAAATAAAAAGATCTTAAAGGTTTTCCAGCTGTCTCTAATTCTTTTTGGTAAGAATAACAGGAGACATTTTTATTCAATGGGGAAATAAAAGCATTCATACTGAAATGTAGGCTACTTTAAGTTCCTTTAGGAATTTGCTATTTGGGAAATAGGAGATTTTTACCTTTATATATTTTTAAATGTTCAGTATAATGACTCTGAAATTTTTTCATAAAATATAGAAAAAAGAATACCAAAGTGTACAAAAGTACTTACATAAATATTAGACAAACCAAGAAATGATGGGTGTTTAGGAGGGGGGCAATTTATAGGATAAAGTTGACTTATAAATATAATATTTTCATAAGAATGAAAATGAGACTTGGAAAAATCAATATGAAAGAGAAATTTGACTTAATGAAAAACTGCTTTCCTCAATTTTATTTACTTGTTTTGCAAAATGTGATAACTATATTTTTTATAGTTACTCATAATTTTAATTCTTCTTTGGAAGGTCTTAATTACAGAGCATGGTGACCTGGGTAATAGCCGATTTTTAGATCCAAGAAACAAAATTTCCTTTAAGTTTGATCACTTACGGAAAGAAGCAAGTGACCCTCAACCAGAGGAAGTAGATGGAGGTTTGAAGTCTTGGAGAGAATCCTGTGACAATGCTTTAAGAGCCTATGTGAAAGATCATTATTCCAACGGCTTCTGTACTGTTAAGTATCTGTCTGCCTATTTCATTATCAGAGTGTTATATTTCTTACATTTACCTTATTGCTTGGGAACTTTGGCCAACCAAACATCACTTCTTTCTTAGTTATGGTCTCTGTATTTTATTCCCTAAATCTTTTTTTTTTTTTTTTAATATTTTTTAGCTGTCAGTGGGCCTTTATTTATTTATTCATTTATTCATTTATTCATTTATTCATTTATTCATTTATTTATTTATTTATTTATTTATTTATATGTGTTGCTGAGAATCAAACCCAGTGCCTCACACATGCTAGGCAAGCGTTCTACCACTGAGCCACAACCCCAGCCCCCTAAATCATTTTTGAAAGGAGTATAAATACATGAAAAATTTCTTTATAAAATCACAATGCATAATAATTTTGAATTTCTATATGTTCTATTTCATATTTATCTTATTTACTTATGAAAAAAATTGCCTTACATCAAAAATTAAGTTTTTAAATACTTTAACTTAGACTTAGGAAAAAATGTTAAAATTGTTGGGAGATCTATTGTCCACATTTGTGTCTTTTTGGCATAGGCATTTATACACAAAACTACTTCTGCATAGTTAAGATATTTTTCACTAGATAATCAAAACTGTTTTGAAATAAACACTTTTAGAAATCCAGAGTAATTTTATTTTTATTTTTTACTATCTCTTGGGCTCTAACTAATAAATTTGGCTCTAACATGATTTCCCCTTTATAATATTGTGACAAGAAAAATATGTATAGAATATTTAATTTTTTATTTGTTTGTTTTGGTGGTGTTGTGAATTGAACCTAGGGTTTTGTGCATGTGAAACAAGAACTCTACCAGCTGAGCTATATCACCAGCCTCAGAATGTTTAATAACTTTTTATTATTGTATTTTAAACTTATATCAATTTAATAAAATCATGATGTTTTGAATTATGTATACACTGTGGAATGGCTAAATTGAGCTAATTAACATGTATTACCTAACAGGTTTTTTCTTTTTAATGAGAATGCTGAAAAATCTAATCTCTAAGCAATTCTCAAAAACAATACATTAACTAGACTATTTTAAATATGTGATGATGATGAGTTAAATGGCAATATAGAAAGTTAGTTAAGAGCACTTACATTTAAACTTTAATAACTGGTTTGAGTCTTAGCCCTGTCACCTAACTAGCTGTGTGACCTTAGGTAAATGACTTAATAGTTCTATGTCTGTTTTCTCATTTGAAATGGAAATAGTTCTTACCACATAGTATTGATGTGAAGATTAAATGAGTTAATGATGCATTTACAGTGCTTAAAACAGTGGTACAAAGTAAGCCCTGCCTAAATGGTAGATAACATTATTATTTATTTATTTATTTTTTTAATTTTTATTGTTGGTTGTTCAAAACATTACATAGTTCTTGATATATCATATTTCACACTTTGATTCAAGTTATTTATTTATTTTTTTAATAAAGGAGAAAACCCATTCTGGTGGATACCAGTACAGAATTCCTTTTTGGAACCTAGTATTGCAGTGGGAGACTTGATACACTTCCTTTTAGAAATTGGCTGTTCGATCCTAAATATACTTTCAATTTGTCATTTGTTACCTATTCAAAGTTTGTCATTCCCCATTCTTAATTTGGAGAGTTTCAATGGCAAATAACCTCAGGGGTCTTTTTTCACTTCTCTTAGCTATCAAACGAGCAACACAGTGCTGGAATTTTTCTAATGGTGTCTACTATACACTAGTTTTCTATATCCTTAGCTGTCTTGCTTAGTAATCTATTTTAGTAATTTCAACTCATTATTACCTATCACATTTTCTATGTGGCATTTTCCAGACAATTCTTATTTGTCCTAGATGGGCATCTAATCCCCAACGTTTTATTAGGTGTGAGTCTCACATAAAATCTTTTTCTCTTCCCTCCACACTGAAAAACTTTTCCGTTATACTTGAATTTGAGAAAGAAAGGTTCTTACTCTTGGTTTCGTACTATCCTGTGTACTTTAAGACAATTTCGTATGACTTTGTTTTCTCTTCTTATATAGTTCTCATTACTTAGAAATGTTCTTATTTTTCCTGTACTTAATGGAGATAAAACTTTAATCATGATAATTCCTCTAAGTTGTTTCTCTTCATCTTGCTGTTTCTCCTCTGTTTTCTTCCTTACCCTCCAAATCATTGGGCCTTCTTCCCCTACTAGTGCCATGTCCTCATTACTCATCCACTTATGAGCCTTTGAGTTTTATTTTAGTCTCCATCCTATAGAAAGTGCTCTCTGAGAGTATTAATGGTTCCTGAATCACTTGATCCAGTGACCATTTTTGTGGTCCGTGACTTCTGTTGCTGTTTCATACTGAACCCAGAAAATAGAAATGATCTTTTGATTAGACTGCTATTATCAATACCAATTAATTCTTTTTACTTTGTCTCTAATTTTCTCATATCCCAAAACTTTTAAAATACTCTTGAAAGTTCATAGCCCACTAAATATAGGGAAAGTAACACAGACTTAGTGTTAGAAAAACAATGTGTTTGGGTTTTATCTTCACCACTTATTCTCTTAAGAAACCTTGGACAGAAACACCTATGAACTAACTTCAACTTTACCTTTTGTGGATGATAAACATGCCTTTTGTTTTATTTTGTTGTTGTTTTACCAGTTTTATTAGAGCAAAAAGAATAATATGTGAAAACATGTTATGTGAACTCTAAAATTCGATGGCTTCTTTGCATTCCCTAGTAATTGTTTCCATTTATTTCTACTGTAAGGAAGAGTTGGTGTAGACATTTCCATCTAGATTTCCCAGTTTGTTACTGATACCACCATCTTCCTAGTCATCCAGATGTACAAATACTTTGGCCCTTCCTTTTTTTTTTTTTTGTTTGTTTGTTTGTTTGTTTAACCCTTCAGTTACAATATATTGCTAAACTTATGCATTCTGTCTGCAACCCTTCCTTTTCATTACCATTTGATACTACCCTAGATTATGACCTAAATTAATTTATGTGGTCTTCTAACCAGCCCTTTTTTCCTGTATAACAGTATTGGTCATTCTCCAAAAATAATAGTGCTGGTCGTATTCTCCCAAAATAATAGTTTTGGTCATGTTGTTTTACTCTCTTTCTGTCTCCCACTAGTCTACTTTACACATACCCTCTAACCTGATGACCTAATTGCCATTCACTTAACAAATCCTTGATTTCATGCCTGAGCTGTTAACTGGTCTTTATTCTCAGTCTCTGCTTATCAGAATCTTATCTGCTTTATAAAGCTCAGCTTAAATGGCATCTCCATTAAACTCTAAGCCGGGAGCAATATTTTCCTCTATTCATTGTACCTCTCTCTCTGTTATTGTACCTCTGTCTCTGTTAGAATTTAACAGAATCTGGGGCTGGGGTTGTGGCTCAGAGGTAGAGTGCTCACCTAGGATGCGTGGGGCACTGGGTTCGATCTTCAGCACCACATAAAAAAAATAAAATAAGGGTATTGTGTCCACCTACAACTAAATATACATATATATATATATATATATATATATATTTTTTTTTTTTTTTTTTTTAAAGAATTTAACAGGATCTGGTTGTGAGTGCTATGTTGTGCTTATTCTATCTGTCTCAAGGATTTAGCACACTGCTTATGTGCATTGTCTGTCATTTAGATTAATTGTGTTTTTCTAGTCTGATTTTTTTTTTCCCCAATAGGTTTATGCTAAAACTATAGATGGGCAACAGACTATTATTGCATGTATTGAAAGCCACCAGTTTCAGCCTAAAAACTTCTGGTAAGAAATAGATATTCTCTTTTGTTTGCATCTAATTATTTTGTAGAGAAATCAGCAATTTTTATCTATTTTGAGAATTTTTTTTGCTGCAAACTGCACAGCAGTTAATTCAGATACCAGACGAGGTGATAAGGAGATGGAAACAAGACAAATAGAGAAAAAGCTGGGACCCCATGGTTCTCCATCCCCTGATGAGGGATGGACAACCCAGAACCAGTTCAGCGTGTTTATTATATAGGTTTTAACATCAAAAGGATTCGTTGTGAGAAAGTTTCTTAAAGTTCTTAACAGAACCAAAGTGGAGGGTATAAACAGCCCAATTAGAAGTATCAGCTTTTGCCCATAATTCTCCACCTGTGGGCAGCTGTCATTAGAACCCAAGGTTAAAAACTGATAAGTCCTTGGCTAGCATGGAATTTCCCTTTGAACAGGGCATCACCACAGCAGCTGGGCAGTCTCAAATCTAGGCCTTTGCTCAGAGAGTTCCCAGGAGGGACATCAACAGACAGCTCAAGGATTATATAATTCATTCGCTGCTCCCAACATTTATTAATTTATCATACATCCTAGTCCTTTTTATTTTTGAGACAGGGTTTCACTAGGTTGCTGGGGGTCTTGCTAAATTCCTGAGGCTAGCCTTGAACTTCTGATTCTCCTGCCTCAGCAGGGTAAATTTTTTTACTTAAAAGATTTTAGTTCACCATCTATGAATTTAGACATTATTTAGATTCCTTCCAATTCTAATTTGGTTTGGGGGTTTTGTTTTCTCCCCAATATGTGGGATTGAACCGAGGGGTGCTTTACCACTGAGCTACATCCTAGTTCTTGTTATTTTTTTGCTTGTTTGTTTTGAGACAGGGTCTCACAAAGATACTGAGGCTGGTCTTGAACTTGCAGTCCTTCTGTCTTAGTCTTGTGAGTCACTGAGATTACAGGAATGTGTCACCACACCCAGCTCCAATTCTTAGATTCTATAGCCATATCTTTTTAAAAACTACTTTTATATTAAGTGAGAACAAATGATTAATATTAAGTGCCCAGTTGAAATTATTGAGTTTTACTTGGGTAAGGGTTAGTAATACTTGAGTTGATTATGTAACTCAGCATCCTGTCCATTTTCAGAAGAACCTACCATGAACAGAATGGGCATGGTTCACTTCAAAGCAAACTAAGGAAAAGTGGAAATCCAGATAATTTAGAAAGCGATTATGGTCAGGCCACTTGGTTCCAGACTTAGGTTTGAGTATGCCTTGGGTTTATCAAATTGGAAATGACTGGTCCCCTCCTCCCCCACCCCTCAAAAATTTTTTTCAACTTTTTGGCCTCAGTGGTAAATCACCTCTTTCTTGTGCCTATTGCTAATTCTGCAGCACTGTATGTGTATGTTTTAATAGGAATGGTCGTTGGAGATCAGAGTGGAAGTTCACTATTACACCACCTACAGCCCAGGTGGTTGGAGTACTCAAGATTCAGGTAAGATTCCAACATGTTCATTGATCATGGTAAAAAGTTTACATTTTTGGTTTGGGAGTATGACTCAGTCTGGCCTAATATGCTTAAGACCCTAGGTTCAATCTCCAGCACTGCCTAAATAAATAAAACTTCACATTTTAAAATAAACATGCAAGTTGGTCTTTGTTCTAGAATTAAAATAAGTACTAAATTATATACAGATGCAAAGAGAGGTGGATGGAAGTGAGTAGAAATAAAAGCCTTCCTGGGGAGGTAGTTAAACAGAGATCTATTTTGGGTTGATAAAGATAATTATGTAGAGAATACTGTTTGCTGGTTATTTTTTTATCTGGTACTAAGGAGCGAACTCAGTGCCTCACACGTTTGAGGCAAGCTCTCTATTGCTGAGCCACAATCCCAGCCCTGTTTTGTACTTGTGTGTGTGTTTGGGGGTGGGGGTGCTGGGGATTGAACCCAGGGTCTTATACATGCAAGGCAAGCATTCAACCAACTAAGTTATATCCCCAGCTCTATACGTAAACACTTTTTAATATAGAATGTCTGGTCACACTTTGGGAGAAGACTTACTTCATTTTTATTATCTTTTAAAAGTCACAATGAAAATTATTTGAAAGAGACATTAAGATATTTAGGCCTAGCAAGACACAGTGGCACATACCTGTAATCCCAGTGGCTCAGGAGACTGAGGTAGGAGGATCTAGAGTTCAAAGCCAGCATCAGCAAAATGAAGGCTCTAAGCAATTCAGTGATTTATTTTATTAGAGACAGGGTCTTGCTGAGTTTCTTAGGGCCTTGCTAAATTGCTGAGTCTGACTTTGAACTCAAGATCCTTCTGCCTCACACTCCATAGTTCCTGGGATTACAAGCATGTGCCACTGCATCTGGCCTATGTCACACTTATTTTTATAGTGTAATTTCCCGTCAAATATTTGGTTTTCAGTGATTTTCTTTTAACTCCCAATTAAGGTTTTCCTGCCAGTCAGATCTATGTACCACCTGCATATTGATGATATTTGTATGGCCATGTCTCACATATTAAGTATTAGGATCCATTAAAACTCCTTGGTTTTCAGAAAGAAACTAATTTTCCATGCTTTTTATTATTTTTAATATTTCTAAAGTGGGATCTTATTTATCTTTGTAGTCATAATGTCTGGCCCAGTGCCTAGAATCAAAAACACAAATTTTTTTGTTGTTTTTGTTTTTGTTTGTTTTTAAATATTTTTTTAGTTGTTGATGGACTTTATTTTCTTTATTTTTATGTGGTGCTGAGGATTGAATCCAGTGCCTCATGCTTTTATGTGGTGCTGAGGATTGAATCCAGTGCCTCATGCATGCTAGGTGAGCACGCTACCACTGAGCCACAGCCCCACACAAATGTTTTTTGAACTTAAATTTTATCTGGTAAGGAAAGAGGTTTTGTTTCTTTTTTCTTTTGTGCAAGATTGAACTCAGGTTCACTTTACCAATGAACTATATCCAGCCCTTTTTATTTTTGAGACAAGGTCTCATTAAGTTGCTAATACTGGCCTCAAATTTTCCATCCTCTTGCATTAGCCTCTCAAGTCACTGAGATTACAGGCATGCACCATCAAGCCCAAAGAATTCTTAAACTGGGCTGGGGTTGTGGCTCAGCGGTAGAGCACTCGCCTAGCACGTGTGAAGCCCTGGCTTCAATGCCCAGCACCACATAAAAATAAATAAAATAAAGATATTGTGTCCAACTACAATTAAAAAATAAATATTAAAAAAAGAATTCTTAAACTTAAATATTCTGTGAATTTTATTTTAATACTACTATGAATTATCATTGATTGTGTTAATTATTCAGAATTGCTAAAGCATGAATCTGTGCATTAAGTAATAGGATTCTATATGAACTAAACATAAACATAAACTTGATCAAATACTTCCTCACACAGGTTCACTATTATGAAGATGGAAATGTTCAGTTGGTTAGCCATAAAGATGTACAAGATTTAGTAACTGTTTCGGTGAGTATGCAATATTTAACGTCTTTTTCACTTTTGTCTTTTTTACTTTAAAAATTTTGTTTTGCTCTGGAGTGCAATCCATCCATTATTTGTTGTTGTTTTGTTTGTTTGTTTAGTTATATATGACAATAGAATGTATTTTGACTTATACGTACCTGGAGTATAACTTCCCATTCTTGTGGTTGTGTATGATGTGGAGTTACACTGGTCGTATATTCATATGAACATAGGAAAGTTATGTCCGATTTATTCTATTGTCTTTCCCATTCTTAACTCTCCTCCCTTCCCCCTATTCCCAGCCCACTTCCTCCTCCAATTCAGTGAACCTCTGCCCCCCTCCCCCACAGTTGTGAGTCAGCATCCACATATCCGAACACTTGGCCTTTCATTTTTTGGTATTGGCTTATTTCACTTAGCATGATAGTCTCCAGTTCCATCCATTTACTGGCAAATACCATAATTTCATTCTTCTTTATGGCTGAGTATTATTCCCTTATGTATATGTACTGCGTTTTCTTTATCCATTCATTTGTTGAAGTGCACCTAGGTTGGTTTCATAGCTTAATTATTGTGAATTGAGCTGCCATGAACATTGATGTGGCCATGTCACTCTAGTATGCTGATTTTAAGTCCTCTAGAACATTGCCGAGGAGTGGGATAACTGGGTCAAATGATGGTTCCATTCCAAGTTTTCTGAGGAATCTCCATACTGCTTTCCAGAGTGGTTGTACCAATTTGCAGTCCCAACAGCAATGTATGAGTATACCTTTTCCCCCACTAGGGACTGAACCCAGGAGGAGTACTTAACCACTGAATCATATCCCCACCCCACCCCCTTTTTTTTGAGACACCATCTCGATAAGTTGCTTAGGGCCCGCCTCAAACTTGTGATCCTTCTGCCTCTGCCTTCCAGGTTGCTGGGATCATAGGCATGCACCACCACATCTAACAACATAGAAACATTTTTTGTGGGTAATAACTAACTTTCCAAAGCAAAAAAAAAAGTAAAAAGAATAACATTAATTTATGTCTTCACAAATTGTGTAATATCTGCCTTAATAAAAGACAGCTGGATTCTCATATCAGCTTCATACTGTAAGCCTCACGGCGATAGTCACTGCACATCATGAAGTTTCTAAGAAACTGTATTGTAGAAGCATGAGAGTAAGAGTGGAAAAGGCAGGGCCGGGGCTGTGGCTCAGTGGTAGAGCGTTTGCCTAGAATGTGTGAGGCACCAGGTTCGATCCCTGGAAAAGGCAGACATCGAGCTGGAATGTAACTCAGTGGCAGAGCACTTGCTTAGCAAGCAAAGGTCCTGGGGTGCGGCCCTGAGGGCATTGTTCATTTCATCTTTTTTTTTAATATTTATTTTAGTTGTAGTTGGACACAACACATTTATTCCACTTATTTATTTTATTTTTTTTTAAAGAGAGAGGGAGAGAATTTTAATATTTATTTTTTAGTATTTGGCGGACACAACATCTTTGTTTGTATGTGGTGCTGAGGATCGAACCCGGGCCGCACACATGCCAGGCGAGCGCGCTACCGCTTGAGCCACATCCCTAGCCCTCCACTTATTTATTTTTATGTGGTGCTGAGGATCGAACCCAGGGTCTTATGTGTGTGAGTCGAGCTCTCTACAGCTGAGCCACAACCTCACCCCTGTACATTTCATCTTAAAGCAAAAATATTTTTTCAGGGCATTAAGATTTAAAGACACAGTAATGACCTCTTCGGACCATACTGTGATAGACTGGAAAGTACATGGGGTTTGTTTGTCTGGTTTTTAGTTTTGGTGAAGACCTGGATTCAGATTCTATTTTTATCATTCAAAAACTGTATAATTTTGGACATATCATTTGAGAGGATTCTATTTTTATCTGCAGAATGAAGGTGATGATAATAAAACTATTTATTTCACAGGATAATTCTAAGAATCAAAGGAGGTAATATGCATTGGAACGCTTGGTAAACTAGGATTATCATACCAGAGTTAGTTAATATGGATTAACTTTTCAGCATCTTTTTACTTAGTGCTTGCTTGTTTGTTGTGGTACTAGAGATTGAGCCAGGGTTTTGCTCTATCATTGAACTATTATCTCCAGCCCCTTGTATTTATTTTCAAAATTTTTATTTTGAGGTAGGGTTTTGCTAAGTTGCCAACGCTGGCCTTGCAGTTCTGATCCTTTTGCCTTAGCCTCTGGAGTTGCCACTGTATCCAGCACAAATGAATTTTTAAATATGTAAGCACTGCTTGCTTCAGTGGCACACACCTATAATCCCAGAAACTCCAGAATCTAGAGGCAGGAGAATTGCAAGCTCAAGGCCAACCTTGATAACTTAGTGAAACCATGTCTAAAAATTTAGAAAAAGGGCTGTGCTCAGTAGCAGAGCACCCCTTTTGCTGTACTCAACCAATAAACAAGGAACCAAATAATTCATTCATTTTTTTTCTTCCTCTTTCTCCATTAGAATGAAATCCAAACTGCCAAGGAGTTTATTAAAATCATAGAGAGTGCAGAAAATGAATATCAGGTAAGAAGACTTGGAACTAATTTTTCTAGATCCTAGTGCCATATTTTTCTGTTAATATATTTGTTAGACCTTTCTCTCTTTTAACTTGAATGCCTATGCTGTTGAGTCAGACCTTTTAATCTGGTATTCTGCTTGAAATTAAGGTTTCAAGTTTGGAAGAGACCATAGCTCTAGTTTAAGCAATATAGATGATCTTCTTGGCTCACTTCAGAAATTGATGAGGAGCTCACTAGAAATAATATAATCTATCCTGTCTAACTCTTGTAATGTAAGCGTGTCCTTTGACTAATGAGTTACTTTCCTATTCACAATCAACCCATTTCTGTTCAAGTAACTAACCTTCAATTATCTGTTGCAGACTGCAATTAGTGAAAACTACCAAACAATGTCAGACACCACATTCAAGGCCTTGCGCCGGCAGCTTCCAGTTACCCGCACCAAAATTGACTGGAACAAGATACTCAGCTACAAGATTGGCAAAGAAATGCAGAATGCTTAAAGGCTGACTGTAGGATTCTTCAGTATGTAGAAAGAAAAGGATTCAACATGTGGTCATATGATAAATAAGTGATTTATAAACAAGAGTGATATTTTGCTAGGGCTTTCAAAGTTAACAGATTTTTTTAGCCTCATGAAATACTGTTGAACCTATAGCATTGACTTCATCTTTTTGTGTTCTCTGCCTTGTATTTTTCTGTTATCACTATATCTACGTGTAAATCTTTTTTTTTTTTTTCCCCTTTTTGTTAATTCTGCTACAATTAGTGTTGAAGAAAGATCCATCTATTCTGGGGTCATTTTACTCTTTAGAAAATTTTCCTAGCCATGAAGTCCTGTTACTGATTTAGACAGATAATATACTCAGTACTTTTACCCTGTGCTCCAAAGCACTTCTGGTACTTCAGTGCTTTTGACTGATCCACCAACAGCCAAGGAGGCTCTGCTACAAATCGTAGCTAAATGGAAGACACATTCATCCTTCTCCCTCTGACTGCTTTGATCATCATTTATAGCATCTCATAACTATGGTTTTCAAAAGTTTGGATTGAGGCTTTTCAGGTCCATTTTGGGGGGCAAAGGAAGTTTTCTGGAAATTACATGACAGCTAGCTTCTCTGGGGGGCACTCATTTTTAAATCCAAAGACTTGAACCACATTCCCTGCACATGGAATATGTTTGCTTTCTTCATTCCCTCATTGTCTTCTTCCCACTTAGTACCATTGTAGTTATAGACATCTGCATTTTTAGAAGAGTTTTATTCATGTATTATTTTTTTAAGTATCCAAGAACTACGGACATACTGTGGATGTAGTAGAGTATAAAACTTGAAAATGCAGATGCTGAAGGAATAATACGTATCTTGTGCTTTAACACTTTGTGGCAGGATTGTACTATAAGCAAATGAATCAACTCTGTAAATCACAAAAACTTAAGATGAACCAAAGTGAAAAGGTAACTTCCAGGCAGTATCTTTCTACTGTAACCTGTTATTTAAGGGAATACTAGTGTTTTCTAAATAGGATGTAAAACTTGTTCCAAATTACTCTTCCTCAGTCCTGCCTGCCAAGAAATAAAGTGTAACTGTGATATAGCAACCCTTCCCAGGTATATTGGCAGGTATGTGTGTGATCTCAGAATACACAAGTGACATAGATATGATAGGACAACTGGTAATGGTGGATTCATTTACATTGTTTACACTTCTATGACCAGGCCTTAAGGGAAGGTCAGTTTTTTAAAACCAAGTAGTGTCTTCCTACCTGTCTCCAAATACATGTCAAACAAGAAGGGTGTTTGTGCTTCAGCTTTGTCTTTGCTCAGTAATACAGTCAAGCAAGAGTTTGTTTCCAAGTGAATGCTGTGTAAGCATTTTTGTTTATTTCAAATAAAATATATTTGTATTATTTGTCATTCATACTATCCATCCATACCACACTATCTTCTGTATCAGGTAGTTCAATAGAAATATACCCATTTTGTTCTAAAAGTGTCTGAGCCTCTCTCCTTTTCGATGCATCTCTTCAACCTTTCTTAAGAAATTCAATGTATTTGATCTTGTTTTAACTTTCTTTTAGTTTCTTCTGGGATATGTTTTTCTTCTGTACAACCTCCTCTTTTGATTTAGGAATAGTTTGTTCCTTTTCATCTCTGTAGTGAAGTTTATGATTAGGTTAATCTGACCATGAACTCTGGTGTGCAGCAGTACATGTTGGGTGCTTTGTTCACCTGGATCTGTTCAGTGATCAGAGAATCGTCACCTAAAGTTCAGCATTACTTTTTGCATTTTGGGGACGTTGGGGGCGGGGTGCCAGGGATTGAACTCAGGAGCACTCAACCACTGAGCCACATCCCCAGCCATATTTTGTATTTTATTTAGAGACAGGGCCTCACTGAGTTGCTTAGGGCTTCACTAAATTGTTGAGGCTGACTTTGAACTCGGCGATCCTCCTGACTCAGCCTCCCAAGCCGCGGGGATTACAGGTGTGCACCACTGGACCCAGCTACTTTCTGCATCTCTGAGCATATCAACAAAAGTTCATTCTGTTTGGGCCACCAACCCTGTGTCCAGCCCCACTGTTTGGCCTGAGCACACCTACCAACTCCACTGTAATACCAGAATATCTTTAAAGTGACAACTTTCAGATACTTGATGGCTTTTTGGATAGTCATATCCTTGATGGTTTGAGCAGTTTAATGGTATTATTAAAGTGAATATGCAGATTTCAATCTTTTGGATGATTTTGTAGGGTTTTCTAGGTCAGCTGAGTAAGGAATCATTCACTTCAGGCTGCTTGCAGGAAGAGCCCTACTTTCAACTATTATAAATGCAGTAAATATCAAAGACTTGGAAAGACAGCTTTTTTGTTGTTGTTGTTGTGTGTGTGTTAGCAAAGTAGGGGCCACTCTCCACCCAAAAGCTACCAGCGAGTCAAAAGTTTTGTTTGAGATTTATATTAATGCCCAAAAGAAAAAGTTATCTTCTCTACCCATTATGGATGGCAGTCACTAGGCAGGAAGTAGAAATTATAGAATTCCTACACCTGGAATTTGGGTAATATTTCACATTGCCTTAACTTTAAATGCTGCTTTCCTCTCCTCCAAGTCTGGTTTAGCTACTGATGACCTGTGGGAAAGGCTTTTTATCCTGTTTCCCAACAGAGAACCAGAGGGAGTTTCTTCACCTTCCACCCAAGGTCAGTTCAAATTCCCACCTTTTTGAAACTTGTAATGCAAACAAGTTTCAAACATTCTTACCTTTAACTTGACAAACCTTGTCAGCCTATCCCAAACTATCTTATTGATTTCCTTATTCCGGAAAGACTTTAAGAGTTGAAATCTCAAGCTATCTAAAATCCTTGGTTGCTTGTGTAAATGCTAGGAAATCAACCCTCCTTGCCAACTCCTGCAGAGACCCCCTGACTTTCTTAACCTTCTTCAGCAGAATAATTGCTTAAATTGTGCCTGTTTTAGCACACAATGATGAAATCACCCTACGGTATCCGGGGCCAAAGGCTTCCCATAAAGGAGTTTCCTATGAGGCCTCACCTCTATATCTGGGTTTGAAATGACACTGCTGAAGGCCATTTGTTTCATCTGAGCCTCCTTTGTCTCTGTTGTTTGCCTAGTTCTAGGGCCAGTTCTGTTTTATAATCAACCAAAGCTCTAGATGCTAGACTCAGATATCTAAGTTCATGAGATAACTTGGCAAACCTTGACACATACTGTCTAAATTCAGAAAAGAAAAGACCAATTTATACATCTGAATGCCAATTTATTAATTTAAAGTTCTATATAGAACTACCAAGTTGAAGCCAGGCATGGTGGTGCATGCCTGTAATCCCGGCAGCTCAGGAAAGGTCAAAGCCAGCCTCAGCAAAAGTGAGGCTCTAGGCAACTGAGTGAGACCCTGTCTCTTTTTTTTTTTTTTTTTTTAAAGAGAGAGAGAGAGCGAGAATTTTTATTTTTAGTCTTTCGGCGGACACATCTTTGTTTGCATGTGGTGCTGAGGATCGAACCCAGGCCGCACGCATGCCAGGCAAGCACGCTACCGCTTGAGCCACATCCCCAGCCCCAAGAGACCCTGTCTCTAAATAAAATTCAAAATAGGGCTGGGAATGTGGCTCAGTGGTAGAGTGCCCCTGAGTTCAATCCCTGGGATCAAAAAAGAACTACCAAGTGAATCAGACACTCATAACCGCCTTCAAGTTGTTCGGCAACCTACCCTGTGGAAAATCAATGAAAGTTTGGAGGGCTGGGTTTGTGGCTTAGCAGTAGAGCACTCACCTAGCACATATGAGACTCTGAGTTCAATCCTCAGCACCACATAAAAATAAAGATATTGTGTACACCTACAACTAAAAAAAAAATATTTTAAAAAGCATTCTGTTGCTGGGCACAGTGGTACATGCCTTCTCAGCAATTTAGTAAGAATCTGTGAAAAAAAAAAAAAAAGAACTGCTTATGTAGGTCACTGGTAAAACTCCCTTGGGTTCAATCCACAGTACCAAAGATAAAAGTATTCTGTTATGTATATGGATATACAGGTGATTCTCATTATTCAGAGTAGTTATATTTTATAAAGTCTGTGGACATGGAATGGGTGAATACTATGACTTGTGCCTGAATAAAGCTAATCTGAGGAATTTTCACTGGAAAGCCTTCCTGTACTTAGGAACACTAAACAGCACTCTTTGGGGCCTTTTAAAGTGGCAAAACAGCATCAAATGGTCCATGAAAAGGACACTTTTTTATAATATGAGGGCTAAAACAAGGCAGAAAAGGACATTTTTTTTTTATATAATATGAGGGCTAAAACAAGGCAGAAAAGGAAATTTTTTTTTTTTTTTTATAATATGAGGGCTAAAACAAGGCAGAGCATCAGAGTGCTGTGCCTCAGTTGGGAACTTGCCAACTTTCCACTGCTCTACATGTCCATGAAGGACCAGAAGACCACTTCAAAATGATGTGAGCCAGGCTGGGTTCCACATAAATTTTACTAAATACATGAATTTGTAAATACAGGATCCTGGAACAATGAGGCTCAACTGTTGCAGCTTCTCCTTTGGTCTGTGGTAGACTGACCAATTACAACAGTATTTTAGGTTTAAGAGCTATTTCTAGTTGCCTTAGGGAGTATAGTTTGAACAATATTGGAGAACATTCAAATTCTGAATTACACAACCCAAGTAACAGTTCGAGTAATGAAAAAACAAAGCTTCTACCTGCAAAGTAGTGTTATTGGGAGATTTACTCCATTAATAATGTTCACCAAAGTTAACTTTCAAACTGCCTTCAGTGCTGTTTGGACTCACTAAAATAAACTTTAACTACTTTGAAGTGCAAATAGATTTAAGGAAGGCTCTGCAGAAGCTGGATGTGAAAGGTGAAAACTTAATGAAAGAAGCAGTCTGGGTTTTTCCATGTGGTGGGTTTTTATATTGGTCTGAAAACCTCCCACCTCAGTATTACTTATTTGTGGCAGTTATTGAGGTTTCTCTATCATTGGCTTGTGCAATGTAAATGATATTACAATGAACCTGGGATCCTCCAAATGATAGTGCCCTCAGTGCTCTGTGCATGCTCCAAGATTGAAAAAGTCCTTTAATCTGGTGACACCCAGTTTTAGTTTGTTTTTGTTTTTTCAGTTGTAAATGGACAAGTCCTTTAATCTGGTGACACCCTGTTTTAGTTTTTTTAGTTATAGATGGACACAATAACTTTATTTTATTTTTATGTGTAATTAAATGACCAAATATGTGGCTCAAGGGTAAGAATCGCCAGCCTTTAATGAATGAAGCCTGTGCGGTGCCAGGAATGAAACCCAGTGCCTCGAACATGCTAGGCAAGTGCTCTACCATTGAGCCACAACCCCAGCCCCCAGTTTTAGTTTTAAGAAGGTAATATTTGACCCTGAAGCAGGCCACTTAGTTTGTGGGTGGGGTTTTCCTTCACCTGAAATAGAGTGATCTGTGCTCTAACAAAAACCATTCTAGACATCTAGAGCCCCCTGTGTGAAAATAACAATTACAATTCTACCTGAAGTAGACTTTCCAGATGAAATTGATTTTTAAAAAGTTCCACTGTAACAAAGCCACATAGTAATAAAATTTTTACCAGTTTTAACTACAAAACAATTGTTTTAAGGACATCCAGAAGATAGGTTTGCCCAGAGAAAGAAGGTTATGTGTTCAAAAATAATGGGGACTTAGATTTGCTGGTCAGAATTGAGCAAGACCTTGGGTTTGGGTATGGTAGATGGTAGGTTAGGTTTTTGAGATGGTAAGCAACAGCAATTTTTTGTTCACCATCTGTACTCCTCTGAGGCTTCATTGGGTAGTTGGGGGAGGGAAAAAAAAGGGTAAAATCTTTGGCTGTGCTCCTAGTTTTTTCCTCTACTTTGCATAATCGATTTCTACAACATAACGTTTCCCCTGCTTAATCTTCCTCATCCTTGTAGCTTTGATTCTCACTGACATTGCATTTGCTAAAGCCTGTTATTCCTTATTCCTGGCTTTCCTATTCTGTTGGCCTGGAAGAAGGTACAGGGTTAGCCCAGCTGGAGAATGACTTGGGTTCTGGACATTTCCTCACACTAGGTTTGATTATGTGGCCTCCTATGGAGAACTACTTGAGAACAACACAAGCTGTGATGTATTTGGAACTTCTTTTTTTTTTAAAATATTTATTTATTTATTTTTCGGTGGACACAACATCTTTGTTTGTATTGTGGTGCTGAGGATGGAACCCGGGCTGCACGCATGCCAGGCGAGCGCACTACTGCTTGAGCCACATCCCCAGCCCTGGAACTTCTTTATGATGTATTTGTATATTTGATTTAATTTTTATATAATTATCTTTATCCCATCCTGCTGTGGGTTTCTGTTATTTCTTTCTGGAGGATAAACACGCAAAAGGCTTGTTATATTTGTTTTGGTGGTAGCTCCACCCCTTTATTCGTCTAAACAGTTTCTTTTCCTGGTACTGATG